AATTAAAACTTCATTAATAAGAATATAACAAATAAGCTGTGCTAAAATTATCGCATAAATAAATAAGAAAATATATAAAAGACGAGATATCTAATCTAAAATGATTTTTAAATTCCTCATCTGAATAGAGCTCAATAAAAGTTCTACATTTTTCATGCGAGGACATAAACTACGTTTCTGTTTTGTAACTAATTCCCAGTCTTGATCAGATTCACTAGAATCACTATCTGATTCTATTTCTCTCAATATCAACGTATTAAACGCTGCAATGTTTTCCGCCATCATTTAACGCTCAGAATGCTCAGAATATTCGTTTCATTTACCTACTATCCATGCTAGTGGAACGGATGATCGCGGCGTTGCGAGCGTGAGCGTTGTGAACATGGACCTAGGAATACATGGACGGAGTCTGTTGTGAAGGGGTAGTGGTAATAGCGGTAAGGGAATTCTGTCACTGTTCTGTGCCCTTACGAAAAAAACGCACGGGCTAGGGATTGTAATTCATGTAGTTATTGTAATCCCTCACGAAAATATTACATTCGACGGACCACACACGTGTAGTTATTGTAGTACAAATATTACGGTGGCTAACTTATTATAGTAGCGACACATATTATAAGGCGGTACTACAATTTAGTTATTACACAGAACATACACACGTGTGGTTACTACAGTATGTATAATATTATAAAAAAGTTACAATATAATACATACTTTAATTTATATATACATATAAATATGTATTAAGTGTGTGATATATAATGTATACAGGGTGATTCAGAATAACCCCGGTGTCCCAGAAAAGACATATTCTTGACTCAATTCTAAGACGATTTTTCCTTTACAAAAATTTTGTCCGAAGCTTAATTTTCAAATTATAATGAGAAATAGTTAGCAAATTACGGGCCGCGTACGGATGGTAGGCAGGGCGGCGCAACTTACTGTCCGCCGGCAGGCGGTACGCGGGACGTGTCGCGACGATCAGCTGACTACACGCGCGCATAAACATGCGTTTACTATTCTCTCTCTCTCTCTCTCTCTCTCTCTCTATGTTTTTCTACACACACACACATACACACACACACACACGCACGCACGCACGCACGCACGCACGCAATATCTTACCTTTTGAAAGATTTGTCGACTTTTCGAAAAAGATGGATTAATTCCCATGTGATTTCCACGTAATGAGTGTTTATTTTAATAAATTTTCAATAGTTTTAATGCAAACGTCACAAGTTATCACTGACACAGATCAAATAATTAGATAATTCTTTTTTATTACTAAACCGCGGTG